TCCTCTCACCTCAGCCTCCTGTGTAGCTGGAACTATGGGCCTGCACCACCATGCCCGGCTAATTTTTGTATTTTTTGTAGACACAAGCTTTTTCCATGTTGCTCAGGCTGGTCGTGAACTCCTGAGCTCAAGTGATTTCCCAAATTGCTGAGATTACAGGTGTGAGCCACCACACCCAGCCCCAAGTGCTCGCTCTCTCCCACTGCTGCTGCCACCATTTACATTGGTGCACAGTTCCTGAGCCCCGGAACTATGGCTACTCTTTCTCCAGAGCACTCTGCTCCTCCTGCCTTCTCTGGGCAGTTTTTCTAGCTTGGTTTTCCCAGCCCTTCTGACCAGCCAAGCAAGGATTTATGGATACTTAGAAAACATCTATCAAAAGAAAGGAAGAACAGCGTCCAAGGGACTTTCCAGCAAACTGAATTGAAATGTCTGCATACAACATGTAACTTTCATCAAAGAGGATTTAGTTAATACGCTCTAAATGCTTCTATCAGTTGGATATAATCATTTGTGCAAGAATAATGCAATTCTTAAAGTATTCATGAAATTTGATGCTGCCATAACAAGATTAATCAAGTCTGATTTATTTACCTTATAGTCATTATGTTTTCAAAGCAAACTCCCACAGAAGATGGAATCTCAAATTATCGGACTTAACTCTCTGCAAGAAAGGCAAAAGATTATTTAAAATGCATCCCACCTTGCTAAATAAATGTTCTCATCCTAGCGTTCTGGTTTGAAATTTTGTGCAACTTAAATTTCTATGAAAATCATATTTCTGTGTAATCCTCTGTTCAGCCTAGTAGTTCTAGAAAGTCTGTACTTCTTTTTTTTTTTTTTTTTTTTTTTTTTGAGACGGAGTTTCGCTCTTGTTACCCAGGCTGCAGTGCAATGGCGCGATCTCAGCTCACCGCAACCTCCGCCTCCTGGATTCAGGCAATTCTCCTGCCTCAGCCTCCTGAGTAGCTGGGATGACAGGCACGCGCCACCATGCCCAGCTAATGTTTTGTATTTTTAGTAGAGACGGGGTTTCACCATGTTGACCGAGATGGTCTCGATCTGTTGACCTCGTGATCCACCCGCCTGGGCCTCCCAAAGTGCTGGGATTACAGGCTTGAGCCACCGCGCCCGGCGAAAGTCTGTACTTCTGACTACTTACACTGCTATCTCTGCCACCCTCCATTCTGACCACCCAATTTTCCGGAATTTATAAAAAAAGTCTTCGACAAGAGTTGGATACAGGTTGTATTAACTGCACAGCCCAGAGAAGTTCCACAGGGCACATTCCCAAAGCCTGCAGAGCCCATATGAGACATGCAAATCTCATTTCTCCACATGCAAGATAAGAAAGCAACACTGCTTGTTTCTATTTTCTCCCAATTGCAATCATTTCATAGAAATTATCCCATGGGGTTTTTTTTTCTTTTTTCTTGAGACCAGGTCTGGCTCTGTCACTCAGGCTCACAGTATCATGGCTCACTGCAGCCTCGACCTCCCAGGCCCAAGCAATCCTTCCACTTCAGCCTCCCAAGTAACTGGGACAAGCTACCTTGCCAGGCTAATTTTGTTTATATTTTTGTGGAGACTGGGCAGGGGGTTGGGGTAGGGGAACATCTCACTGTCTTGCCCAGGCTGGTCTCAAATTCCTGGGCTCAAGCAATCCTCCTGCCTCAGCCTCTAAAAGTGCTAGAATTAAAGGCCTGATCCGCCACACCCAGCTAAGTGTTTGTTAATTAACAATTTGTAATTCAGAAACAACAGACTGTAAAATCCTCCTGTGGACAAAAATTAGCACAGAGCTGGGTGCAATGAATTCTTTGAGTAGAGAGAGTGGAACCCTCCATCCTCCAAAATCCAGCCCAAGGCCTTGTATGAGAAGTTGTTCAATACATAAAAAGTGGGATTTTTTTTTTTATTTGGAACGGAGTTTTCCGCTTGTTGCCCAGACTGAAGTGCAGTGGCACGATCTCGCCTCACCGCAACCTCTGTCTTCCAGGTTCAAGCGATTCTCCTGCCTCAGCCTCCCGAGTAGCTGGGATTACGGGCAGGTGCCACCACACCTGACTAATTTTTGTGTTTTTAGTCTCAATGGGGCTTCACCACCTTGGCCAGGCTGGTCTTGAACTCCTGACCTCAGGTGATCCACCCACCTCGGCCTCCCAAAGTGCTGGGATTACAGGCGTGAGCCACCGTACCGGCGTCTACACGTAATTGTAGACAAAAAGGAAAAAAATAGAGACATAGTCTTTTCACGCATCTTCAGCTTCGGTGCTTAAAGAAAAGCGTCACTAAATTCTGCTCTCACACGAACACACACACGATTGCCATGTTTGCTCTGGGCTGCTGCATAGAGGAAGGACATATACATTCAACAAGTATCTGTAGAACTTCCATTCCGTATACAAAGCGCAAAGATGCGTCCACAGTCCGTGTGGGTCCTGGAAAGCAGTTCCAGCCCTGCCTGCCAGGGGGCACCCCAGGCAAGCACATCTCAGTGGCTGCTAGAAAGTCATTGAAGTGAAGCCGTCTCTCTCCACACCCAGGTGTTCCGTGTTCTAGACTCATAGACAACGATAACGAGGGCAGTTCTCTCTTCACTGTGTGCTTTCATTTGCTAGAAACGTTGTTAGAATGTGGAAATGTGGCCCATTGATTGAGAATTCAGCACTAATCGGTTTCACAGAGTATATCTACAAACACACATATTTCTCCCTGAAATTGTCCTAAATACTATCTTTCTTGACACCAAATGAGAAGCAAACCACCTTTACAACTAAAAATTAAAACCATAAGATTAACATCTTAGTTGTCTATCTAGAAATTGTACAGTATGACAAGTGTAAAGAAACCGCTAGCTTCTTAGTTTTGCTGGTCTTTACATAATATCATTTTTAAATTGTTTTATGGTGGTAAACTACACATAACCTTTAATTTACCATTTAATCTTTCTTAATGTGTGCAGTTCTGAGGAATTAAGTACATTCACGTTATGTAACCATCACCATCATCTGCTTCCAAAATGATTTCTATTTTCCCAAACTAAAACTCCGTACCTATCCAACCCTACACATTTCCCAGTGCCTCAACTGCTGGTAACCACACTTCCACTTTGTGTCTCTATGATTTTGACTGCTGTGGGTACCTCATGTAAGTGGAATCATACAGTATTTGTGACTTTTGTGACTGGCTTATTTCATTTAGCATAATGGGCTCAAGGTTCATCCATGTTGTGGCACGTGATGGGCTCTTCTTCCTTTTCAAGGCTGAATAATACTCCACCGGAGGTATGCAATACATTTTGTCTCTCCATCCCTCCAGTGGACACCTTTTGGCTACAGTAAATAATGCTTGTATGAACATAGGTGTAAAACACTTGTTTGAATCACATAATTTAAAAATCTATATTTTAATGAAAATGTTGTATTATTACAATGTTGTATTTCCGTTTTTATCCTCAGAATACCAACAATATAGCATTTGGCAAACAGACTACAAATATTAACAATTTCTAGTGCTTTTGTGATCAACAAAAAAAAAAAAACTATTCCTGTGCTTCTCAGAGAAAATATTTTAAATCAGAAAAATATTCAAGTATTTTAAGGCCTTCAAAGGTAGTATTTTTCAATTAAAAGACGGAGTCTCCATAACTACTATCTACTCCATACATACACCGCAAAGATCCCAAAGGCAGACGGTATTTTAGATGCGCCTTTAGGTGCTTACTTTTTCCTCCTTGGGATAACTTGAAATTCAGATCCCAGCAGAACAAGCACATTCTGCCGGGCAAGCCGACTGCCAGTCCGAGCACATCTAAACGCTCATGAAGGCAACTGAGACTTGGAGTCTCCAGGCTCCATGGAGACTTGAAAACTATCAGACTTGCATTTTGCCACATTCTTGGAATAAACTGATTACTCATAAAGGTGATTTTGGAACCATTACAGCTTGTAGAATGATCACCGAAATGCAGTCCACCGATAGATCCCCAGCTGGCCAAGCTCCGTTCCAGACCCTGGGGAGCAGGAAGGGGACCCGCGGCCTCTCTAGACTGTGCCCAGACGACAGACAAGGACGCGATAACGTCCTCGCTCCGCGGCCTTCCGCGGTCGGCGACCCTCTCAAGCGTGGGTAAAACTACCTCGAAGGGAACAGAAAAGGTTAAAACCTTCGCTGGGCGCCGGCAAGCAGATTAGGCCTCGCCTTGGCATCTCGTCGCCAGGACCAGATGGAGCGAGTGACCCACGGGAACACCTTCCCCGTCACCTCAGGCCAGGCCAAGTCTCGAGCGCACTGGAACAAGCTCTTTTTAGAAAATAAGCATCCGTGTGCCTGCCGGCTAAATTAAGTGTGTCTGACGGGAAGCAGGTTCGCTGCCGCTATTTATAGCCTCCCGCCCCGCCCAGGGCGCCGCTCCTCGACAGCACCCACGCTGTGCCCGGCGGCGCTTCCGCGGGGCCTCCCTGCTTGGTGCACCCCCACCCCCCGCCCCGCGTCAGCCGTCCGGGACCCGCGTCCCCAGGCGGCTGCAGGCTGGCGAGGCCGAGGTGCCCGACGCCTACGCACCCCTGGCCCTGGGAGCGCCCCGCGAGCAGCTGCCGCTCGGGGCCCGCGGAGACCAGGGCAGGCGCGGTCGGGCGCACGTGCGCGCGGTGGGCGCCCCCCGGGCGGCTCGGGCAGGGCCCACGAGCTCTCCGCGCCACCCTCCAGTCCCGCGCGGGCGCGCTCCGGCGTGGGTGGGCTGTAGGGAAGACCCCGCCTCCACGTCCCGAGCGCCCGCGCAGGTGCGGGTCGGGGATGCAGGCGCGTGGCGCGGGCGTGCGCTCGGGCTGGGGTGTGGCATGGGGACGCGGGGCGTGCCGGGGCTGCGCGTGCAGGGCGGGGATGCGGCGGCGGCGGGTGTGCTTGCCCGGGAAGCGCGCGGGGCGGGGCTGGTCCGAGGCGGCGGGGGCGTGGCGGGGCGGCCGGGGCTGCGGCGTGGGGGCGCCCGGCGCTGCGCACACGGGCCCGGCGGGGATGGCGGCCGGGGCGGGGAGGTCGGGCGGTGGCGCGGGGCGCACGCGTGAAGCGGCACCGCACGTGTGAAAGGAATTCTTTTCAGAGCGGCCGGGAGCCCTGCTCGGGAGGAACGCGCCCGGGTCGCCGCCGCGGCAGAGCGGGGTAAGGCGGGCCGGGCGCCGGGGAGGCCGGCGCAGGGACCGAGGGCAGCGCGGGGCGGGGACGCGCGGGGCGGCGGGGACGCGGAGCTCCGGGCTGGCCCCGCGGGCCGGGACTGCCGAGCCGGGAAGCCGAGCCCCGGCACGTGTGCGGCTCCCAGCCCCCTGGGGAAAGTTGTGGGGAGCTCGGGAAACTTTGTGAGAAACTTTTTGATCCTCCTCCTTTGCTCCTCGAAGTCTGGAGAGAGAGCAGCGACTGGTTTGGCCTCCCTAGATGGACAGCCCAAAGCCGAGTTTAAGTTGTTTTCCTGAGGCTTTTCTCTCTCGGGTGGGGGAAGCCGGGTTATCCCGGACCATCAGGCTGCAGGGCTCCTAGCGATACTGAAACGCTTGAAAATTCTCAGCGGATGTCACCGCGCACCCAGCCGTCCGCGGGCATTCAGCATCGCCGTGCTTCCCAAAAGTCCTGTTGGGATTGTTTAGAAACGACGTTGGCTCGCTCGCCTACATTCTTTCCAGAAACTTTTTTAAAACTTTTAATAGCTATTAATGCCATGACCAAATTTCTTGACCTGCATGTTTGTTGTGATATGTTCAAGTATAAAGAATTTGCAGAGGAGTGGAAAAGCACCGTCCGAGCCCCTTCTCGTAGGAGACTCGAGAAAGTAACTTGCAGTGATGCGACCTTTTTGCTTTGTTGCCAGCTCCACACTAGTGAGCAAAATTCATCCTACCACGTAGAGTTCTCAGTTCGTGAATTTGTGACTGCAGCTTTAGAACTCCAGTTTTAATGTTATCAACGTGTCCCCAAAACATGCCATTTAAAAATGGTTCTATACAAACAGCTGACAAGTGAATTATGGCTCTCATCACCATGGTGATTTATGTTCAGAACCGTGGTGATTGATGTTCTGTATGTCACTTCACTGGCGATCCATCCGTGTGCTGTGAAATGTATTGCAAGGCAAATATTAGAAGATTAAAGAGGAAAAAAGACAGATGTATTTTCCAAATACCAATGTGTTCAAAGTAAACATCAGCTAATTTGGCACAGATTCCACCTGCTCAGCAGTTCGGTTCATGTTGAAGGAAGCATCTCATAAGGGCAGTGCATGTATTGGTGCAGTGAAAAGTAATTCACAAAACTGTACTACTCCAGCAGGTCAGACAATGCCGTTTCTTAACCAGGAACTGTTAACTGGCTGAAAGCTGTCTTAAAAGAACGGCGGGTAACAAAAATCTTTGACAATAAAAAAAAAATATTTTTGACCCAATTTTTTGAATGTTACTTCCATTTTAACTTACTATATTCATTTATCTTAGCTAAAATAACGTGTATACACTATACATTTGAAATGAAAAATTGTATACATTTATCGCAGCCATTTATTTTTTTTCTTGAGATGGAGTCTTGCTCTGTCACCCAGGCTGGAGTGCAGGGGTGCCATCTCGGCTCACTGCAGCCTCCGCCTCCCACGTTCAAGAGATTCTCCTGCCTCAGCCTCCCAAGTAGCGGCGACTACAGGCACCCACCACCACACCCCGTTAATTTTTGTGGTTTTAGTAGAGACGGGGTTTCACCATGTTGACCAGGCTAGTCTCAAACTCCTGAGCTCAGGTAATCCTTCTGTCTTGGCCTCCCAAAGTGTTGAAATTACAGGCATGAGCCATGGGACCCGGCCTATTGCAGCCATTCTATAAAGCCTTATGGATGCAAAGAATTTATAGTCTTCCAGATGTGGCCATTACTTGAATATGTGCCTAACGGAATAAATAGGATATAGATATTTTTATAATTTTCCTTCTGTATTGCACATGATTATGCACATAACATTAATAAATGCTTAGCTTTAACAATGTACAAAAATATTATCAGAACATTCCAGAAAGCAGAAAGACCCTTAAGAAGCATTGCACCCTACTGTATGGAAAGTCAGGTTCCTGGGATCGCCTTGTGAAGAAACTCAGCCAAACCCAATTGACGGCTTGATTAACATATAGTCTCCTCCTTCCTCCCTCTGCTGGATGGTGGCTATTCCCAGTACTATGTAGTACCTATATTTTGATCTGTTTTTTGCCAGTCTGCCTCTCCCGTAGATTGGGAATGAACCTCCTGAGAGTATAAGGACTGGATCTGAATTATTTTGCTATCCTCAGTGTGGCACAGTGCCACACACAGAAGGTGTTTAATAAATGTATACCGAATTGAGGAGGGAAAAAAATCCAATACATGTGACCTTAACAACATATACGTCTCTTAAAAAAACTATGTTTTTGCAATTTCTGTATCATGCTTAAAGGCAATGAAAGAGTGATAAAGTTTCATCTTAATTTTCATTCCTACAGTGGTGGAAAGTTCCTCACTATAACTGCGCTAGTACTCTACTGCTTTTTTGTTTGTTTGTTTGTTTTTGATTTTGGAGATGGAGTATTGCTCTGCCGCCAGGCTGGAATGCAATGGCACAGTCTTGGCTCATTGCAACCTCCGCCCCCCGGGTTCAAGCGATTCTCCTGCCTCAGCCTCCTGAGTAGCTGGGATTACAGGCATGCGCCACCATGCCCAGCTAATTTTGTGTTTTTAATAGAAACGGTGTTTCACCATGTTGGTCACGCTGGTCTGAGACTCTTGACCTCAGGCCTCCCAAAGTGCTGGGATTACAGGCAAGAGCCACTGCACCCAGCCTATTGCTTGCTTTTTAAAAACTCCTCCGCATCTCTCAGAGTAATGGTTGATGTGAATAGTTTCCACAGTCTTATGTGTTGTCTTTAATTTGAAGAATTGGTTTGCTTTAAATTTACTGTTAACAAACTAATGATACTAGATATAAAAATCATTTAACTTTTTACATTTAGACCACCTGATTATCTCCATAGATTATTGCTTATTTATTTCTGAAACTCCATTTTCTGTTGACATTAAGATGAATTTTTTTTTTTTTTTTTTGTTTTTTTTGAGACAGAGTTTCCCTCTTGTTACCCAGGCTGGAGTGCAATGGCGCGATCTCGGCTCACCGCAACCTCCGCCTCCTGGGTTCAGGCAATTCTCCTGCCTCAGCTTCCTGAGTAGCTGGGATTATAGGCACGTGCCACCATGCCCAGCTAATTTTTTTGTATTTTTAGTAGAGACGGGGTTTCACCATGTTGACCAGGATGGTCTCGATCTCTTGACCTCGTGATCCACCCGCCTCAGCCTCCCAAAGTGCTGGGATTACAGGCTTGAGCCACCACGCCCGGCTAAGATGAATCTTTTATTCTAGAACATAGAAGCAATTTCTGGTTATAAATAAAAGTAGATTTGAGTAAGAAGAGTGAAATCAAATTAATACTATAGAAATCATTTCTGCAAAAAATAGAAAATATTTTGATAGATGTAATTTGTATCCGTAATATCAGTGGAATAATAAAATACCGTAATTATCAGGTTGTGGGATTTTGTTCACTAAGCAAGAGTAAAAATGTCTGGATTTGCTTTATTTTATTTTATTTGTTTTATTTTTTTAAGATGGGGTTTCACCATGATGGCCAGGCTGGTCTTGAACTCCTGAATTCAGGTGATCCACCCACCTCGGCCTCCCAAAGTGCTAGGATTATAGGCGTGAGCCACCGCGCCCAGCCTGGATTTGCTTTAAAAAGATAGTTCTGGCCTGGTGTGGTGACTCATGCCTGTAATCTAATCCCAGTACATTTTGGGAGGCTGAGGCACGAGGATCTCTTGAACCCAGGAGTTTTGAGACCAGCCCAGGCAATACAGTAAGATACGGTCACTCCAAAATATAAAAAAAAATAGGGCCGGGCGTGGTGGCTCAAGCCTGTAATCCCAGCACTTTGGGAGGCCGAGGCAGGTGGATCACGAGGTCAAGAGATCGAGACCATCCTGGTCAACATGGTGAAACCCCGTCTCTACTAAAAATACAAAAAATTAGCTGGGCATGGTGGCGCGTGCCTGTAATCCCAGCTACTCAGGAGGCTGAGGCAGGAGAATTGCCTGAACCCAGGAGGCGGAGGTTGCGGTGAGCCGAGATCGCACCATCCATTGCACTCCAGCCTGGGTAACAAGAGCAAAACTCCATCTCAAAAAAAAAAAGAAAAAAAAATTAGCCCAGTGTAGTGGTACACACCTGTAGTCCCAGCTACTCGGGAGGCTGAGGCAGGAGGATCATTTGAGCCCAAGAGATTGAGGCTACAGTGAGCCATAAGTATAACAGGAAAAAAAAAAAAAAGATAACTCAAATTTGTGGTGAGATAATTGGGTTATCTTTAGCATATCAGTAATATTTAACAATTTTTGTAAAAGGTAAAAATGCCCCCTCTAGACGCTCTGGATTGGAAGAAAAGAATGAAAGTTTAAAATGTACTTCAAGCCCACGTTTCTGAACATATGCATTCCAGTATGTTAGAGAATAAAATGTAATGCAAAAGGCATATAATACATAGCGCCATAAACCGAACGGTCTGCCCGCTGCATCACCCATGAAGTGGTGTGGAAGGGGAAGCGAAGCTGGACCAGGAGCTGGAGGCTGGGCGCTTCTGGGCTGGCATCAGCACCGTGGGCTGTGCAACTGTGGCCAGCTCTCGGGACCCTCTCTGAGCTTCCATTTCCCAGTTTGCAAAATAAGGAGCCTACACTAGACCGTGTCTAAGGTTCATTCCATATTTCTTCTGTAGAAAATGACTAAGGTTCCTGAAGGGTGTCATTTGGATTTATATGAGGAAATCGCCTTTTAACTGACCGCACCGTGTTTATGAGGTCAGTGTTTGATCTCCTGTTCAGACGTCCTGACTTGTGTTTGAGACATGATGAAAGCCTGTTCTGATTGCTGCTGTGCTGAGGTACCCCTGTAATTTTCTCTATTGCTTACCCTTGCCCTAAGCCTCCCCTCAGAAAGCATACTGGTAAATTCAATTTTACTTTAAGGAAGTCACTTTTTCTCATTATTCAACTTTTAAAACTTTGAGGACTAAAACATTGAAGGAAATACATTAACATAGCACTAAAATGTGTAA